GCGGGCACAAAGCACATGAACATGTCCACCGTCCACTTGGCATTGCACCCGCCCTCCTCGATCCAAGGACTCGGCCGGGAGGTCATGACGAGAGACAAAGCTTTGATTCATACCTATCCCTCCCAACTCTCTCCTCTAATCGTGACTATTCTTGTGCATTTGCTGCTGCAACAAAAGGAAGAACTGAATAGAAACTCTCTGCGCACACGCACACACCGCAGTACTACCTACTACACAACTCCTCCATGCCCATCCATGTCTATGACCCATCCCCCCGGGCTCCCGGCGTCCAGCCTCTCTCCCTGCTGTGGACAGCGAGTGTGGGCGGCGGTGGTGCCCGTGGGCTCTCGAGAGTGGGTTCTCCTGCCGTAATCCCTGGTCAGTCTCATTAAACTTAGCGCAGCCAATTCTACTTTTTGACCCTTTTGGGCAATCTACCGCCTACACGAACCCCCCGTCCACTCTCCTTCCTCCCACCGTCCGCCGCCCGCCCTTTCTCTCCTTGCTACCCTTACCTCACCTAACACCTATACTCCTCCTCACTCCGCTTTTCCTGCCTTCGCTCACCTCTTTTATTTTTATTTTTGTTCCCTTTCCCTTACTTCCCTTCGTCCACCTCTGCGTGCTCCTCCCACTCCCTCACCTACTACTCACTCTCGCTTCCTTGAGCTTTCAGACCCTTCCTTCTTTCTTCTCTCCTTCTCTTCCTGCCCCCCCTGCTCTTATTCTTCTTACCTAACCTTCTCGCTCCCTCCTATTCCTCGACTCCACCATCTGACTTCTAACCCCCCTTCTCGACTTGTCCTCTTCTTCTCCTCTTCACCTCTCATCCACCTTATACCTCCCACCTACATCCCCTTCCTCTTATCCGCCCGCCCTCATCCTTATTCTTCATCTTCTATTCTTTATCCCTTGCAGCCAAACCGCCCGTCGCTGCTGCCGACTTCCTCTGGCCTATGCGATCGTTGCCGTATTGACCAATCCTTCACCTTGGCTTCCACATTCGTTGCCCGTATATCCTTCGTCTATAATTCTTTGACCATCTTCCGGTCTACCTGCAAGGGGTGATTCATCTCGCCGCCGATCTCAGCACCGAACCGATCCGAACCTTGGACGCTCGCTCGCCAGGTGGCTGTTCAACATCGACTTGCACGAATTACAACTTGCTTCTTCCACTATCCGCTATCCGGCTCCCGACAATACCGTTGCCTTGAAGAGCTTTCCGTTCTGGACAGCATTTGTTGCGTCGACCGTATAATTCACTTTGCTCAATTTTTGGCTTGAGGACCCCTTCGCCACCAACTTAGGCAAACGGCCAGTCCATAGCTCGGTCCACCCACGAGCTGCCACAATCCGTCTTGCTCCACTCGTGTCTTGAGCTCCGACATTATTTGCTCGTCCCTCGATCAGATTTGACGCCCGTCCAATCACACGTTGAAACTGCGGTGCTCTCAGAGTCCCGTAGCATTCCAACGCGCCCATCTCCGATTCTTCGTGCCTCCTAAGGGCACGTCTAATCTTTCAAAACGGCGGTTCTATCCCAAGTCGGCCGGGACAACCTTGTCCCTCCGCATCTTCTCGGGATGCAGGAAATCCAAGGACCCGTCGGCCAGGGCGGCCCCAGTGCTCCTGGAAACCGCTTCGGCCACGCTTCCAAGCCTTCCAACAGCGAAACCGGCTTCTCTCACGGAGCTTTCACTTCCAACATCTCTGGCTTCGCCGACAGGCACCCTCGTCGCGGAAACATTCCCACTATCAATACCCAACCCCTGAACCACCACCAGCAGGCGCCTCCCTCCGCTGCCGATATGGCCACTCCTGGCACCGGCTTCGATATGCAGTTCACTCCTCTGCTCCCCTCCCAGCTGCTACTCGGAAGCCCTTTCCAGCCCGGAACTCCCGCCGCTTTTGCTAGCCCCCAGTTCCAGAGTCTCCAGAGCTTCCAGCAGGCCCAGCAACAGAGCCAGCAGCAGCAGCACCACCACCAGAACGGTCTGCAGAGCCCCATCCAGCAGAGCATGTCTCCTCAGCAGTACCAGGCCTTGGTCTCTCCCTCGACCTATGGTGCTCCCCAGTTCTTCCAGCCTCAGTCACCGACCGGCGGTAGCTTCAACGGCATGCAGATTCCCATGCAACCTAGCTCACCCGTTTCCATGGGTCCGGGTATCGTTACTGGCACCAGCCGCACTGTCTACCTTGGTAACATTCCCCCGGACACGTCAGCCGAGGAGATCTTGGGCCACGTCCGCAGCGGCCAAATCGAGTCCGTCCGTCTTCTTCCTGACAAGAACTGTGCTTTCATCTCTTTCCTGGACGCCAGCTCCGCCACTCACTTCCACTCTGATGCCATCTTGAAAAAGCTCTGCATCAAGGGTCAGGATATCAAGGTGGGTTGGGGCAAGCCTTCCCAGGTTCCCACCTCGGTGGCTTTGGCCGTTCAGCAGGCCGGTGCTTCACGCAATGTGTATCTGGGCAACCTGCCGGAGGACGTTACTGAGGAGGAGCTCCGCGAGGACCTAGGAAAGTTCGGTGCTATTGACACGATCAAGCTCGTTCGCGAGAAGAGCATTGCTTTCATTCACTTCCTCTCTATCGCCAATGCTGTCAAGGCCGTTAACCAGCTTCCTCAAGAGCCGAAGTGGCAGGCCCCTCGCCGCGTTTACTACGGCAAGGACCGATGTGCTTACGTTTCGAAGACGCAGCAGCAGAACGCTGCTCAATACCTTGGAATCGCGCCTGGCTATGCGCACATGCTCACCGGTGCAGACCGCGACGTCATCTCCAACGCCCTGGCCCAGCAATCCGTTGCCGCGGCCGCTGTCGCGACCACTGCTGGTGGCATCAACAACCTTGGAAACCGCACCATTTACTTGGGCAATATTCACCCCGAGACGACGATCGAGGAGATCTGCAACGTTGTCCGCGGCGGTCTTCTTCACCACATCCGTTACATCCCTGACAAGCACATCTGCTTCGTCACTTTCATCGACCCCACGGCTGCGGCCTCCTTCTACGCTCTTAGCAACCTGCAAGGCTTGATGATCCACAACCGCAGACTTAAGATTGGCTGGGGCAAGCATTCTGGTGCTCTCCCACCCGCCATTGCCCTCGCTGTTAGCGGAGGTGCCTCTCGCAATGTCTACATTGGCAACTTGGACGAGACGTGGACCGAGGAGCGACTGAAACAGGACTTCTCCGAGTACGGCGAAATCGAGCTGGTCAACACCCTGAGGGAAAAGAGCTGTGCGTTTGTCAACTTCACCAACATTGCCAATGCCATCAAGGCTATCGAGGCTGTGCGAAGCAAGGACGAGTACAAGAAGTTCAAGGTCAACTTTGGCAAGGACCGATGCGGAAACGCGCCCCGTCAGCTCCAGCAGCAGGCGCAATCTCCTCGCACTGATGGTGTTTCGTCGCCTCCGCCCAACGGTTCCCAGAACTCGGGCTCCCCAACCAACGGCAACACGCCTCAGCAGTCGGCAACCATGTTCAACTCGAACAACCACCCCCTGACGATGTACCTGAACCACGTCTCCCAGCAAGCTCAGCAGCAGCAGCAGCAACAGCACCAGCAGCTTGCCGTTCACTCCCAGGCTTTGTTCGGCACCGCACAGTCGTCCCCCAGCGAAATGTCTATCGACATGCAGTCTCAGAGCCCCATCACGGGCCACCAGCAATCCGCGAGCATCTCGAACGGCTACCCTCAAAGCGCATCCGGTTCTGGTCCCACCACCATCGGCGGTCTTCTGGCTCCCAGTAACAACCGCGGACAGCACAACCGCGCAGTAAGTCTGCCTGCGCTAAACCCCGGTTTTGACAACGGCGGCGCGCCCTCGGGTCACGAAGGAGAGCGTCGTGGCCACCAGTACCAAGCGAGCTTTGGCGGCATGGGTGCTGGCTATGGCCTGGCCATCCAGGGCGGCTTGAACCAGTGGGTTGAGGAGGAGGTTGCCAACTAGAACAGTGGACAGTTTGCTCCCCCCGGCATGCGATGCAACAGGAACATAGGGGAAAGATTGGTTAATCGTTGTAATTGCATCTCACGTCTTACTTCCCATTCCTTGATTCATGCTTCTATTTTCATCTTTCTTGTTCTTCTCATCTATAATTTTAACGCCACTTTGGCATGGTGGTTTTGGGTTGTTTTTTCTCAGTTCCCGAGCACGAGGAGGATACTACCACACAAAATTTGGCAGAACCCTTTCATGCGTATGATAGTGGTCGAACATAGCAGCAGATACCAGAGCATGGCCGGCCTGGGAAACGTCACTCACGATCTGTCGCCAACGTGGAATGGACAGGAAGGGCGCAGGCACAGTCACAGGCCCAGGAAGGGAGAGGGGGTGGATGTAGCAGAGTGAGGCAATACTGGCTTCGCGTAGCGGTATTGTCCGTGCATGTCTATTAGAGCGAAGTTCAGGAAAGGTATCAATTTCCCTGGACAAAGAAAAAAGCGAGCAAATATTGGTTTGCATCTACAACTAGTCGTTACACCGTGATATGGAAAATTGGAGGCCTGCGTGCCGTATGATGAAATTCTTGCCTGGCCCTTGAGCCGGCGAGAACCGTCGGCTCTATGAAGATGATACCAAGTTGAACTGGGTCAGCTGAGTACACCTCGGTCCAGCCAGCGTTGTCGTGCCACACTTCTTCTCCCCTTGGATTGACCTCGCGACTGTATACCAACGTGAGACAGACGCCTTGCCTCCAGCACAATGGATCCTCCGTTTTCAAACTACCTGGCCGAGTCCCATGCCGGTGTTTATTGTGCGTTTATGCCGAGCGGGTAGGGAGGGGTATCGAGCAATCCGAGCTCGGAGAGATTGACAGTGCGTTGAGTCGTCAGATATCCCGCAGGCTTTTCTTGTATTGGGCCCAAGCAAATACCCAGTCCAAGGGGAAGTGCTCTGAGCCCATGATGGCAAGCTGATTGGTACATCACACAAACTTGGATTGCAGCAGATAGCAACGCTAATCTTGGCAGGAAATCATTTCGCGAACTAGCGGAAACTACCTAGGGTTTGCAACACGTCGACCAAAGACTCCCTCAACGTATGGTCTGCGCCGACATGTTTCTCCAGCCGCGCAGCGATGCCGAGGATAGCGCTGGTGGAGTGGATGTATCGCCTCTTCATCCCCTCCGGCGCGCCGACGAGCAGAGCGGTCGTAAGCTGGAGGACCGCAACCTGAGCCTCTTGCACGACGAGCGGCTGCCCGACCTCCGGAGCGTCCCAGGCGGCCACCGAGGTGACGAGATCCATCCACTCCTCCCGCGAACCGGCCTCCTCGCTCTCGACGATGGGCAACAGGATGCGGACGATCTCGATGGCGCGCGCGGCCTCGTTCTCGTCACTTACCGTCGACGTGCGCTGCAGTATGGCTAGAAGGTCCTGGGTTAGAGCGCCCCAGCCGTTGTGCGTGGTGAACTCCTCGAGGCCTGCCTTCTCGACGAGGATACCCTCCAGGCCTACCAGGATCGGGGCGCGGAAGTCGAGTCGTGTCGGGGAACTCGCTTTGTAGAGGTCAATGAGCATATCCATCAAGCCGGCCGCCTCCTTTCTCAAGAGGTCGTTGTCATCCTCGCGAAGCCAGAGCGATAAGGCCCTGATAGCTGCGAGGATCAGGGGGTCCTCATGGATGTTGTCCTTTTTCGACTCCCACGAAATTGTCAGCATCTTGCCCATGGACGTGTCTGTTTCCTTTATCCGCGCATCAGGGTGCAGCCCAAAAGTTCCTGCCACGGATGCATCCCATCTGTCTCGTAAGAACTCAATGGTGAGAGACATGGTTTCCGCAACGACCCGGCGGATCTTGAGCAGAAAGTCTGCGGACATAATCATGTTTGCCGGCGATGACATCTCATCATCAAGGCTCCTCACGAGATATCCAATGAATCGGGTGGTGATATCGAACGATGATCCGAGGCGCTGTGCAATGGCTGGATATGCAGAGTCATTGAGGAGCTCGAGTAGTCGCGGCAGAGTCGCTCTAGTATCGGTGAGAAGTAGGGTAATGAACAGGTACGAAAACGGCTTATCTTCTTTCACGTCGCTGGTGAAGAGAAGCCTCGACGTTTCGGCCGGGTACACCTCGAGCAACGATGCAGCGGCAATGGTGTAGGCATTCCTGGCCTGTGGCGTAGGCCTGCTGGTGAGGAGCTTCTTGATGAAGTCAACAGTCGGTTTGACCCACTTCGGGCTCGACGGGAGGGCCTATTCAAGTGTAAGTCAGCTGCCTGTACCATCTCGAAGAGACAAACTACCTTGGGGTCTGCATTTCGGAGAAATTTGCCGAGGAACTCGAGAAAAGTGACGGCGTCGGTGCCTTTAAAGGTCGAAACAAGGGCCTGCACTGTCCCATCTATCTTCGTCTTCAAGGCAGTCCTATCCTGTACCAGGCTCATGCAGTTGATCCACGAAAACGCGAAAACTTCGAGGGCCGATGAGTTGCTGGGTGCAATCTCGACCAAGGGACTGACATCCTCAACCTCGAGGAAGGACTTGGCGCCTTCTGGGAATGCAACGAGGGTGAGTATCGTCTGAACGATCAGTTTAGACGTCTCCTCCGAGCTTTTTGTGTGTCAATGTTGAAGCTATGTATGTAACGAGTTCCTGCAACGCACCTCTGGAGCAAGCTAGAGACTAGGAGAGGCAACCTCCCGACGAGTCTCTTGTCTCTCTTTGACTGATCCGGCAAGAGCAAGGCGAAGACATGGATTACTGAGACTGCGAGGTCCACCATGTTCTTTGCGTCCTTTTGGGCTGACTGGGTCGAAGACCCTGTCTTCACCAGCCGATCCAAAAACTTTGGAGAGATGGACTCCCATATGCTAACAACGGTACCGGCATCATTACGCAGCTCTTCAGAGTTGTCGAGCAAGGTTTTCAACAAAGCTAAGCCAACTAATCGCGACGTATCGTCTTTGGCTGTCAACATACTCTGGATTTGATCGAGTGATGCGGTTTGCTGGGTTGCCTGGGTCGGGTCAGGCGCTTGCAATGGCGCGTGAGGGTCCGCCGACCCCGATGATACTTCTTCCGACATGCTCTTTAGATGTCGCAGTACGTCCCGGCTGGGGTTCTGATTATGTCCGCTTGATGGTCATGTGAAACGGACGAAATTGTGTGTGAGACGAGCTTCAGCTGTTATCGATTTCTTTTGGATAAACAGCACTTGGGGGGTCCACCAGTTCTCAAGAAAACACTTGCTATATTGGCTGGCTTGGAAACGTTCTTCTCTCTTTTCCCCCAAAAGATCGGAAGAAACGCACGGATTATAGCTTGTCAAAGCCTGGTGCCAAGGCAAGGTTCGAGAAGTCAAGACCGGACGAGATGACGCTGTCGTGAAAAATTGCCCCGTGTAGAAGATACTGGAGACACAGATCGCCCGCACTCCATCAAGACCCCCCTGCTCTTGGCCACTTGCCCCCCACGGCGTCGCATCAGCACCGTATCGGGTCGCAAAGGGGTCCGAGCTCCCACACCGAGTCAGCCACGCGCGGGTTGTCACCGAATAGGTATCCGGTCCGAGATAACAACGTTTCCGTCCATTTAGGAGAACGACAACAGGATGGCCATCATCTGAGGACACTGGGAGTCAACGTCGTCAGATTCGCATCATGGACGGTCGTGTACACAATGATTCGTCCGCCTCATCTTCATCGCGCCCGCTGAACAATGGCAACAACAGCGACCCCACCGACCGCGACGAACTGGACTTTTGGAGCGATGACGAAGACGTTGCCGACGTCCTGATCGAAGACCCGATCCACGACGACCTCGAAGAACCCTTGTCCTTTAAGCGCAAACAGAAGCAAGCTGTTTCATCGGCATCAGGACGCTTCCTATCTGCCTTCACCGGCTCGCGACCAGGCACAGCCTCCCCTCACTCTTCGCCGCGAGCTCGAACGCCGACCCAAGACCCCAACCGATCGCCTCGGAGAGCAGACGTGCACGGTACTGCAAATCAAAGCACAAAAGATGGCGCGCCATTGGATTGGTATGCCGAGGGGCCCGGCAGGAGAGTGCGATATGAGGATTTGACGGCCATCGACTGGATCTTTGAATACACAAAGGAGCGTCAACGTCTGCGCGTCCTCCACTCGAGCGCGCACGGCCTGCTCGGGTTGCTCAAACAACTGCTGGATGCCAGCGAGATCTGGGTCATTCTGATACTAACTGGCATGGCCGTTGGAACTGTTGCCGCTGGCATCGACATCACGACAGACTGGCTTGGTGACCTGAAGACAGGCTACTGCGCGAGCGGCCCGGAAGGCGGCGCGTTCTATTTAAACAAGAATTTCTGCTGCTGGGGCTACCACGAGATTTCCAAGTGCTCTGGCTGGACACCCTGGGCCCAGGCCTTAGGAATTTCGTCGGCTGTGGGTAAATGGTTCATAGAGTACTTTTTCTTCCTCATTTTTTCGGTAAGGGTTGCGCTCCCATTGCTTACCGTCACGAGCTGATTCTTCTGAAGGTTTGTCTGGCATCAGCAGCAGCGGTTTTAGTTAAGGAGTATGCGATATATGCCAAGCATAGCGGTATACCCGAGATCAAGACGGTGCTAGGTGGCTTCGTCATCCGCAGGTTTCTTGGCAGCTGGACTCTGATCACAAAGTCGCTGGGTCTGGTATGTTGTTGTAGCCCTCACCACATGGTCAGATTGGCTGACCGTCCTAGTGCCTTGCTGTTGGATCTGGCATGTGGCTGGGCAAAGAGGGACCTCTGGTACACGTTGCGTGCTGCTGTGCCAATCTATTTATCAAGCTCTTCTCGAACATCAATGACAACGAGGGTAAGCAGGCCTCACAGGCCACTACACGTACATCACTAACATGGCCATAGCCCGGAAGAGAGAGGTGTTGTCTGCGGCAGCCGCCTCCGGTATCTCTGTTGCCTTTGGATCTCCAATCGGAGGTGTCTTGTTCAGTCTCGAAGTGTGTAGCGTCGATGTTCCTCGATAACTTGGGCTAATTGGTTCTCAGCAACTTTCTTACTATTTCCCCGACAAAACCATGTGGCAAAGTTTCGTCTGTGCCATGACGGCAGCCGTGGTTCTCCAGGCGTTTGACCCCTTCCGAACCGGTCAGCTTGTTATGTATCAAGTCAAGTTCAGCACCAGCTGGCATGGCTTCGAGCTAATCCCCTTCATCCTGCTCGGCATTCTGGGTGTAAGTAGCTTTCACCTTCTGCACAAATGTCGCTAACGACATGACAGGGAATCTACGGCGGGCTCTTCATCAAAGCCAACATGGCCGTAGCTCGATGGAAGAAGAACACGCCGTGGCTACCAGGACCGATCACTCAGGTCGCAGCAATTGCCCTTCTCACGGCACTCATCAACTACCCGAACCATTATATGAAGTTTCAAACTTCAGAGCTTGTGTCGAACTTGTTCGTCGAATGCTCCAAGTATGTCGACGACGAGATCGGTCTCTGTAAGACAGGGGCTGCATCGACACCGACCATTGTGCTTTTGATTTTCGGGGCTATTCTCGGGTTCTTCTTGGCCACCGTTACCTTTGGCCTTCAGCTGCCCGCAGGAATTATTCTGCCTTCGATGGCCATCGGTGCACTCACTGGCCGGGCGGTGGGTATCATCATGGAGATTTGGGTCACAAACCACCCTGCGTTTTTCGCATTTGCTGCCTGCGAACCGGACGTCCCATGTGTGACTCCTGGGACGTATGCTATCATTGGGGCAGCGGCTACTCTCGCCGGAGTCACTCGCATGACGGTTTCGATCGTGGTTATCATGTTCGAGCTGACCGGAGCCTTAACATACGTTCTTCCCATCATGATTGCCGTCATGATCTCGAAATGGGTAGGGGACGCGTTTTCACGCAAGGGCATTTACGAGGCCTGGATTCACTTCAATAAGTACCCGTTCCTGGACAATAGCGAGGAAATGGTCATACCAGACATCCCCGCCTCCCAGATTATGACTCGTATCGAGGATCTGGTCGTGCTTACAGCTACGGGCCACACTATTGGCAGTCTCCAGAACATTCTCAACACGCACCCTTACCGGGGCTTTCCCGTTATTTCGGACCCGCGCGAAGCTCTGCTGCTGGGCTACATATCACGAGCAGAGCTCAGCTACAACTTGCAGATGTGCTCTCAGCCACCGAGGTCGCTTCCGCCGGAGACGGAAGCTTTCTTCTCTCATCAGCCCCTTGCGGACCCGCGTACCACGCTCGACCTCCGGCCGTGGATGGACCAGACGCCCATCACCATGGCGTCACGCTCCAATTTGCACTTGGCTGTGAATTACTTCCAGAAGCTCGGCCTGCGGTACGTTCTATTTAGCGACCGCGGTGCCCTGCAGGGTCTCTTGACGAAGAAGGATGTTTGGTACGTGCTCAACGGGGCGGACGAGACGCGTCAGAGCAGCGGGCTGTCGAGAGATATGGGCGTCGAGACCGGCCTCACTAGAGAAGACGCTGGCGGCGAACAGAGAGGCCTGCTAAGGGGCGACGGTCACGAGGAGAGGATCAGTCCAGCAAACGACCAGGAACCGATATTATAAGATAGAGCATAACCTCAGGACAGTGTACGGTTTTTACTTAGACGCAAACGCAACCTCGTTACGACTCGACGGCCCTTGACACTTTTTGCATCCGGGATTGCGGCGACCTCAAGAGGGCTTGCTACGAACAGCATGCTTCAGCGATGCGATTCAAAGGCGAAGTTTGCCGTGTTTCTGTATAACGGCATACTTCATTCTCCTATGGCAGGACTGGGCGGTACCATAACCAAAGCAGAGTCATCACGCCAAATCCCACATACTTCCCAAGGTATATTCTCGAGGGAAAGGACCCATCATCCGTCCCTGGGCTCCTTATGGTAGGCCGTAGAGTCTGGCCCGTGGGATTTGTGATACCCCACTGCTACGATTGTTGCAACGCCGTAGCGCTGTCGTGGAGAGTCCGGAGACAGAGTGCAGCAGATAAAGACAGCCATGATTTCTTACACACCTCCGATATGGGATCTTTTCCACCGGTCTGCCGAAAGGGGTCGACAAACAGTGCGTCATGGAGGCGTTGTAGGTATAGCGAGATGGTTTAATAAGGTAGTTACAAGTAGACCAGCGAGCCAAGCATCGGGTTTATAGCACCTTTCTATCTCAAAAGGTGCTCTTGACCTCTATAGTTAAGATCAAACTCTGACCGTCAAAATCAATAGGGCGGTTAGATACCAGGATACCTTGATGGTGTTGTTTCTCATAGAAACCTGATATTGAATATCAGGCATGATACCTATACTGCGTTTTCCCAACTACGTTAGACCACTGTCTTGTACTTGTGCTACCTTGAGGAACCGCCTTGTTCGTAGGGTGCGATAAGTGTCCCTTGCGGTTAGGCTCAACCGTGACGACAAACCTCTTGCGAGAGTGTAGCATCATGTGTAAGGGCGGCTGGCGATAATACACAGGACGACGATAGGGGACGACGCATACAGCCAGAGTCAAGGATATGCGACAAGGTTTCAAAAGAAGCCGCGACACAATGCTCAAGTCGACCCAGGTCTTCATCGAGCTGATTACCGTTACCGATGAAGCAGGGATATCGTTCCTGGTGCTTAATTGACTGGTTAGTTTCAGCACTGTTTTCGTTACACAGATTCGGGATCAAAAGCAATGTCTCCCTGTTGCGTCAAATCGAGGGGACCTAGACACAAGTGACGCGGAGCATTGGCAGTTAGATTGGGATAGCGCGAAGCAGACCGTCTTCTGTGTGCACCAGGATGTCTTCCATATGATATGTTGGGCCGACTGCTCGCCTTGTATCAAACACGGTGCACATAACCCATATAGCTTATAAATGCCCGTTGTTAAAACTCCCACATTCCACATATCCTCCCAACGCCGATGTATCCCAAGGGTATCTTTGAAATGCAAATTGACCAGCCCATTGCGTCGTAACCAAAGCCTACGCACGCGGAAACCACCCTATTCTAGCCGCCAAGGAGTCAGGCGCCGGCATTGTATCGCTTTTGCACAGAACAGGGAACAGAGCAGCCCGAGATGTGATCCGGTATCGATGGGACGAGTCCCGTCCTTTCCGACGTCCACGAGCGTGCCGTCCCCAGCGCCATTATGCACCAGCGCGGCGGCTTCCAATCCGGGAAGATGTCGCAAACGGCCGCCATGGCGGCCTTCACCTGCCTCGCCATCCGCTCCTCCAGCATGCTGTTTTGGTTCGCCGGCACCAGCTTGACTTGGTCATCGTAGACGGGGTTCTCGTCGCAGGGCACGAACACAAGCCGCTCGAGACGCGGCATGCGTAGGCGGACGTGCTTGAGGACCTCGGCCGTCAGGTTCGCGGCGCTCATGGACTGGTACACCCCGTCTATCCAGAAGATGGAGTCATTGATGGCGAGGTGGCGCACGCCGGCGAGGTCCGTCGGGTCGCACAGGGACATGACGGTGAAGAACTGGGCACTGGAGGCCATGTACCCGTCGCGTGCGCCAAAGTAGAGGACGTCGTGTGCGTTGTCGAAGAAGATCTGGCCCGGGTTGCGCGTCATGCCGAAGCTCAGGCGGTACGAGGCCAGGGCCTCGTGTCGGGATTCCCGACAGACGTGGAGGTTGACGGGGATGGCGGCGTACGAGGTGCACCCGCTCGTCGAGGACCGCGGGATCTCGGCAGACGAGGCGAAGGTGAGGGACTTGGCGCCGCACCTGATGGGGACAATCCGCGGCGGTGGGAGGTTGAAGCTCCAAATTTTGAGGCGGAGCTCCACAGGCAGTGTGGGGAAGAGATGCTGTTATGGCTTCGGTCAACTGGGGCTAGTCGCAGAATGGACTATATGGGAGATCGACTGAGCTAGACGTACGAAGTTGCGCAAGGTCCGAGGTGGTACAGCCTGCGCGGCGCCGTCATCCGTTTGTCTGCTCGGTACGGGAGTCGTCGTGATGGGCGACATGGTCTGTAGGCTCGGGGAGGCGGCGCAAGACTGGTGGTCTGCGACGCCGAGTTGATCGGTGTGAAAGGGGGTCCGGAGCGAATGATGTGTTATCGGACCAGTGCGGAGCACAAAATGATGGGAGTCGGGGAGGGGGGTTGGCAAGTATGAGTAGTTATATCGCCGCGACGTCGCGGCTCCCGGCGCCATCCCAGGCAAATGACGACAAAGAATGAAGGATATGCCTGCTAACCCGCATCCCGCAACCACCCCGTCCCTCCAGGGCGATCCGAGACATCATTAGACTTCTTTGACAAATACACAGCCCCGGGCTCTTATTCCACAGCCAGGCCGCCGGGTAGCCAAAGATTTTCTGCACAGCTGTAGGAGGTATACAGTATGTCGTGAATCATGACTACGGCTCTGGCGGCCACACCCTCCCCCCCTTGTTCGATGCATGCTTGTGTCAGGGAAGAAAGTGTGGCGGCCTAGAGCCCGAGGCCTTGGGTCGGGGCGACCGGGGGAAACTAATGTTTGTCGGAAGCTGACTGCCACTTTCTCCACTTCGGATTAGACGGCCTTCAGCGTCAGTATGCTCGAGAGTGGCATGCCGGATTCAAGGGAGGACGAGTGTCAGTATGCAGAACAAAGCTCAAAGTTGCAGAAGTGTCGATCATGGGCTCAGGCTCCTAACCACTCGTGAGTGGCTGTCGAGACTCCCTGTAATGGTGTTGGAGACAGGCAACGTTGGAACCAGGCTCTCTTAGAGAGAGAGAGAGCAGAACATACCTCTATGGTCAGTGCAAGAGAACGGGGGGGCCCATCAATGCCGAGACCGTTCGGTCTGTTTATCCGAGGGGCGCTGATCTGCGGAAGTGATGAGGGGACAATTTCTCCAGGCATACGGGAAGGAGTTGAGGATAGGCATTGATAGGCATGCTGGAGCGGGGAGACGTGATGAAATTGTCAAATCAATACCTTTTTTGGTCTCCCGGATGTCAAGAAGCGAGCCTGCAAAGCTGACCCGGCCGTAAGATAGATACATAGAGGGGTGATAGGTGTCTGGTTGGTTCCAGAGAGTCGGGCTGAACCAGGGGGGTCAGGGGGGGTGGGCGCTGCAAGCTGCTCATGACCGTCTGTGCGTTGGACCGGGGCCTCTCTGATTTAACCACTAGGTTCGGGTGGCTCTTTGGCGTCGTATCCCTAGCTGGGCTGTGGACAGCCTCAGCTGAAGTCTGAGTACGTACTTACCCGACTCTTACAGAGGTCGTAGGAACCTTGACACTGCGGCTAAGAACCCTCCACCTAACTAATCCCCCCCCCCCCCCAATCGCAACGCGGCTTCTTGCAGAGGCGCAAGACATCGATATTCTTTTGCCCCCCTTACAAGGACATGAATATCCGGGGGACCCAAATGCGATGGGTTGTGATATGTGCAACTAGACTCAGCCCGAGCATCTGGGACACTCAGCTCGGGGAAATGGATCTGGTAGCCGTAGCACAGTGAATATCCATGCGGCCAGTACGAAAGCTTGAGTGAGACCATCAACCTGTCACTTGTTCACTTGGTGGCAAAACTATCGGCCTCAGTCTTCGGCTGCCGGTTTCCGAGAACTGCTACATGCCTGGCGGACACTATTGTCATCGCCAACAATCTTGGAACACCGTCGGTGTCCATTCGCCTAGGTATGCTGAGCATGGCTTGGCAGACATGCCACAACTGGTGGACGTTGAAGGTCAAACCACTAACTCCTTGATTTTCTGGCGATCCTTTCGAGTCGGCAGGGTCGGCTGCCCCTACTCTGTTTATTTATCTGGACGCTAAGGCTCCATATTACCTAAACCTCTAGCATGGTAAGCAGGACTCTTTGACGTGGAGCAGTCGGCCCTACCCGACGGGTACCGATGTTTCTTTTGATAGAAACCAAGGAACAGCAGGCCAACCAAGTCACTGGGTGGTGATGGAGACTGGCCGAAAGGGAGACCCTATCAGCCCTGCCGGGTAGCCGAATCCATCTGAACGTCTCGGTAGACTTCGTGTCTGATTGGACAGGCCCGTTTATTGAGTGAGGCCTCAAGGTTTTGATGGTTCTTAGTATCGGACACCAAAGCTGGCTACACGCCATTACTACGTAGCAGCCTTAATCTGCAGGCCTGCCACAAGTGCTGTGGTTGAGGGCGGCCATTACTTTTTTTCACCCAAGTGCTAGATCACCTTCCCCATTGAACAAGGGGGTCTGATCCCCTGTCGCTTCCGACGTCCTCAGTGTTGTGGAATCGTACTTGTCGGTCTAGGAAGGCAAAGAGTCATTGGCTGCGCGTATGCCGCATGTCGCAGTTCAGCTATGAGGCACGCTCATCGAGACGGAGACTCGTCAATTCAGCCCTCACCGTTCGGAACATTCGGAAGTAAAATTTGGCGAACCACATCGCTGTGACTATCACTTACCATGTCTCATTCAGTCTCCGTGCCCGTATGGTAGCGATTCCCGTGTCCGTACGTATCGCATTTGCTTGGGGTGCTAGGATGGCGAGAATCTGTTTGAGAAACAGGGAAAGCTAGTTGCGCGAGCCTCATACAGGCGGATAGGTAATAGATTGTAGATATACAGGTGCAATAGTTGAAGCTAGAGGAGTGTAAAAGTCGGGCAGGTCATGCTAACAGCTGTCCGGTTGGATTCACCAAGTGTTGTTGGCATCAAAGCCAAGTCTGAAATCACGTGCTCTCCAGTCATAGAACAAGCTTACGGTAGTACGATGTAAACTTAAAGTGCCAACTGGGCTCTTGCCGGGATCTTCCTTCCACCCCCCATCACCACGCTTTCCGTTTGGCGTGAGCTCGACAGCGGCAAATGAGGAACATGATTAGGTATCAAGCGTCTTGTTGACTTGCAGCGGCCCTCCATTGGCGACCGTTTCCTTGGCTGGCGAGTGAGCGTTCATGGTCTGGTCTGATCTGTTTAAGGGCTAATCGCGCCGGCTCATTGGTCTTGTAAATGGCCTACTGCTTCTAAGCGCCGGGGACGACCACCACCACGACCAGCATCTGCGGGCCCCTGACCAATCTGAAGCCTGCCGACTCTCCAGGACCCCCGCCAACCTCCAACCTCAGGACTCCGAGATGTCGCAAGCGCGGCTATCTTGCATTGGGCGCAACGCTCGTCACGGTAAATTTAGATATACGTTTCCTTCCCCGGACATGGGCAAGATTACGTGCCGCCTCTAGGCCCGGCACCCGGCGCGTATCTCTATGTTGTTTCCTGTATTTGTACGCTCCAGAGTCGTCGCCTTTTCGTAAGTTTGCGATGCAGGAAACCAATACGCAGTAAAGAATCCGTTCTCTCTTCTCTTTCCTAGGTCCTTTCCTTTCACTGGAAACACTTTTTTTTCGCATTCGCCGTTATCTTCTATTTCGTAATCGAACAAGACCGCAGTCTCCTTGCCCTAGCCGTCATGTCTTCCGAACCTAAAAACGTCTCCCGCACCTCAGACTTTGAGATCGATGTCGAGGAAATTCACATCTCATCTCAAACACGCGTCCTAAAAGCCGTCGACTCTGCAAGGGTCGGCCTGACCGCTCTGGCTCTTCTTGCCAGCATCACGGTTCTCGGCGTCTCGGCAGATGCCCTGGCAGTCTACGATGCTACCCATGTGCCCGCCGACTACTTGCTCCCGTTGTGGCCAGACGCCTTCGACCTACGCCCAACAGTAGCTCTGGTTGTGGGGAGCTCGATTATCACCATTACCAACATGGTCTCTCTGCTCTTCAGCCGAGTTCAAGCAGTTAGTCAAGAGCTCATTCGAGTCTGTATGCCGTGCCCTAGACTAACACCAACTAGCTGCGTGGCCAAACTCTCATTCACAACTCGCTGGTAGCGGCGGCCCCCGTAGTGGGGCTGACTGCATCGATCATCGCTATGTCCTTCTTTTATAGCATCAACGCATCGACCACTGTCGACACCCTTCAGAGCTGGAGCTGCCGGTGGTCTTCGGTTGTGATGATGACACGGCCGCACTTTGGCACTCTTTGCAAACAGAGCAAGGCGGGCCTTTACCTGTCCGTTTTGCTAATCCCAGTCGAGGCCATCATCTTGGGAGCTGGTGCATACCAGATGATCCTCCAAAAGAACGTAAGCAGGTCCAGCAAGGTGGTTGAACAACAGCGCAAGTCTGGAAGCCCTGTGCCGTCGTCAGTCCGCGATATCGAAGGAGGGCAGCACTGATGAGAGCGGCCTGGAACTTGTAAGGGATCGGGAGACGTATATGTCGTTCAGTTGGCGTCTGCTGGGCGGATCGAGCCAAGACAGCGACGCCGGAAACGGACATTGAGCTCTCACTGGAATGGGAGTCATCAGGAAATGTAGGGTCTGAACGGCCTCATGCCTGTCGCATCTTTATACCGCGTATGTATTCGTACCTTTTAATGTAGGATTTTTATCACCGTAGAGAGGTAGCGGCGACACCATTGGGTGGATGGTGATGTCGCTGTCCGTCCAGAATCTGTTTGTTTTCACCATATGACACCGTCATCGCTCAGCCAGATGTGGCTCGCACCAGACACCGGATCCGGCTTCCATAGAGGCCTAAACACAGCGAGGCATGCGCCTACTCATAGTATCGTAGCTGCGCAAGCGACCACTCGAGTCTCCGCTGACACGGGTGCACCTAAGAAAGCGAATTAGTGAATTCAGCGGCTCTCGATCTTGGCTGCTTGCGGAGAGGGCTGTGGTGGATCTAGGTCCCGGGAAGGGTGTAGATCATCTCAAAATCGAGAAACTTTATGTAGCACTTCTATTACCAACTTGTTGACGTGGTCCTGAGCAACTCGAAATTCCATCCAACTCAGTCGGTAACACGGACGCTTTTGGCCACCTTCCGGTTCATTAAGTATTGGCCGATGGTTATAGCGTTGGCGTTGGGCACAGGATGTAATCGAGTCTCAGAGTCAATCAACTGTTCACTGGACCGGTGCGGATACGAAAGCGATGATTGAAAGTTCAACTAGGTGGCCACCTTGAGAGGACCGGACCCCTGATAAGCCATCTATCTCCAAGGATATTATGGTGAGCTGCGCCAAGCGCATCCTCCAATCGCCAAGTTCAGAGGAACGCCTTCAAGCCGCTAGAGGTCAGCACAGAGGCCCCGCGAGCTAAAGCGCCAATACAGATGTGCCGCTAGTGACTCTTCAGGGCTTGCCAAGTACCTACCTAGGTAGATGTAGATAGCTGCGAGTGCCAGGGGCAAATTTCGACCCGGATTGATTGGCCTGGATACCAGGAGGCGAACACCGCTCTGACCCCCTCAGGAGACTGGGCCTTGTACTCCGTAGATATTCTGCCTTTTCTTCTGTAGCGCACTCTACGTGAAGCCATCATCTGGTAATTAGTGTACTCACGTACCCTGCCTGCCTGCTTTATCTGGCCCACAGCCGGATGGCTTCACATTTCCCATGCTCGAACTGCCCGGAAACATGGGCATCCCGTCCCATCTTTGCCTACTCCGTCGCTGCATGAACTCTCGGCCCGACACCCGTACGACCGTCTCCAGTATAATCATCACCTCCGTCATTTTCTTTAGCGACCACTCCGACTCTTGTCGAGACGGCGCAAGCAGATGTGGCACCGCGCCAGAATAGAGTGGGCACGAACTGGCATACCGGTATCAGTATTTACCTTTGCCAGAGACTAAAGGGTTCCGGGAGCACACGTGAACCCAAGCAAACAATTTTCTTCTGCCAGCATCACCGGGGCGTAACACCGTCCATAATGCGGCTAGCCGAGCAGCTACCTGCAGCGTGCCGTGCGGCCTTGTCCATCTCCTCTCCCCTCTCCAGTCTGATATCTCAGGCACCACTGAGGGTTACCGCAAGCCGAGTCGGGCTGGCCCGCATGCCAGAGCTGTCTTGGGGCTTAGGACCCTGTCGTCTGGTCTTTAAGCTACATATCATGGGCCATGTCTTTCAATACATGCCTGCCCTGGCACTGGCGGCTGCGGAAGGGTACGGAATCCAGGCAATCTCTTTTGCTGCGGACATGCGACGTGGCAAATGAGGGATGAAGTGAAAACATGGCAAAGTGATGGCAAGGTTAAGGCAAGATGTGAATGAAGACAAAAGGGGATGATTGCGGGTTTGCTCATGTCGTGTGCCACACCTTCGACCAGAGAGAACCCATGGCTACAATAAACTGAGAATGCCGGGGACAGGCACACAGCCCAGGTGCAGACTATGCCTCGAGAAGTTGGTAAAGAAGACGCGGGCTCGGGACAGCTTCGTCCAGTCCAGTCCGGTCCAGCCCACATTCTTTCTCCATCTTTTCTCCTTCCGTTCGTTCTGATCGACCAGTCTCTCAACGAAACTGCGCTCGTCGAGCGGGAAGAAAGGCGCGGTGTTCGCATGTGGCCTTGGCTCCTTCCGTTTTCAACCATCCCCTTGCGTTGCTGGTGGCCAAGCGCATTTGCACCGATTCCCGCCCAGCGACTCGCGTCCTTGTAGGCCCTTGGACTGGCAACCAGCTGCTAGCATGGGCCATACTCGGCTCATATAATAGTCACTCGTGTCACCAATCCATCGAGACTGGCTAATGCTCTTTCGTGCAGCTCTCTTATTCACGTCGAGCCCTTGGAACTACACCAGCTCCCGCCCAGTCCACTCCGTCTCGTTGCCAAACATTGGAAGATTGGCAGGCCGGCGTCTTCTTGGCAAGACCTCTGAATAGCTAAAACGTACGTACGCCTTCTTCACACTTTTGGGGGGTCTATTTTCTTTCATAAACCTTGGGAGGCCCGAGTACTAGAAACTCCGTGCGTCGGAGCGCACGACCTATCTACAGTCCATTCATGACAGCTTAACGTACTGCGCCAAGTACAAGGGGTCTCTAATCAACGGGGCTGCGTTAAGTTGCTGCTCTCACTCGGTGATTGCGGTTGGAGTCTTTTTTTCGTTGTGTGTCAGGCTAAGGGGGTTCTGCGCGGATCTGGAGACTAACACGGCCGCTGCTAGTAAAACCACCATTCCCAAACAATCACTTCTGATACAACTATCCCAACTCCTAGCACCGTCGAAATCGCCTTTATCTCGTCTTCGGCCTCGGACGCTGTCGCAGACATGGCTGATCCCATTTCTCCGCCTTCTTCTCCCTTGAAGGAGTCCAACACGACCTCCTCCAGCACCACCAGTGACAAGCCCTCGTCCCATCCACCGGTTACCGCCCAAAACAAACTTACTTTTGCTGAACGAAAGATGAACCGTCGCCCTTCAACTGCTCCCACCCCCATAATCGAGGGGGATCGTGGTCTGACGAGAGACGTGCACCGCTCTCTCCCAGGCGACCCTCGCAACAACCGAAAGTCCAAGACACCTGCCGATTTGGCGAAGCGTAGGAGCTCTTACTATGAAGAGGCATTCCAATACGACAGAGAGTCCAACTTGAGTAAGGACCGAGTCCTCAACGAGGCCGTCGTGATGACCGACTTGCGCACCAATGTGATTGTACGCTGTAGCACTCCAGCCACAGCTTGCAGCCGAGGCTAACTCCCCGCGCAGATCAACGACGAGTTCAGCTTCATCACAGACTTTTCTTACCAGCTATCGGTCAGATATCAGCGACCGGTGTCTTCGATCGTGGTCAACTTGCAACATGGGGCTTGCATGCTATTTGGAGGCACCTTCGAGCCAGCGTATACGATGTCTATCCATGCACTTCCCCTTGAGGTTGGCATAGCCAAGAACAAGAGGAACTCGGCTTTGCTACAGAAGCATCTTCAAGAAGCCCTTGGCGTCCCGCCAGCTCGTGGGTACGTCAAGTTCGTCGAGGTGCCTGCTGATTGCATGGCTATCAACGGCAAGACCACTGCCTCTCAGATTTCCGAGGTAACTGGCGAAGACGAGGAGACTATTGCTGAACGCCGCGCTCGCAACCGCAAGAGTCTCGGCACCAAGGTAGTCCACGCTGAGGAGCATCTTGAGAGAAATTGTAGTACTGACGGCGTCCCAGTCCATGTCGGCATTGCGTCACGGATCCATTGTCGGAACTAAGAGGGGTTCAGTATTCGACTTCCGTAGGGAATCTGTCGCCTCTCCACGAAAGGATGCTGCTCAGCAGGAGCTCACTCCTCCGCATAGCGCCACGGATGCGCCCCTCGTCCCCCCTATTCCCGAGACCTACGCCGTCAACAGCACCTCCAGCGAGAAGGATACACCTTTCAAGGAAGTTGAGAAGGCTCCCACCAATACCTACGGGGAGTATATGAAGAAGAGCAAACCGACCAAGCGCAAGGGCAACTTCGTCTCGTCGCTATTTTCTCGTTCCCCTAGGAACGACGCCATACAACTGTAAACAGTACTTTACCATCCAGCTTCCTAGACGTATGTCTTTTGTATCACGCTCGCTATTTGGCTTTGTAACAGTGGTCAAACTGGAACTTGAGAGACTGTAGGGAACCAAAACGCTGGACTGGTTGAACGGGAGATGGAGTTATGCATAATCGCCCGCCTATGCGGCTAGGAGCCAATGTCTAGGGGCGCTATTCCTCTTGTAATTATATCTGGACTCTCCAATACTGGAGGTATGGCTGTTCGGGAAGACTGATATTTGCAGCCACCTCGGCCAGATCCAATTATGCCATTAAGCTGTCTGGCATTGATAAATTCAATGCTCGTTGTCCTATTTGGTATCGATGGTGATGGTGCGGTAATTTGCTTGCATCGAGAACCCTTGGGGGCGGGTTACTATATGGCGCTGGCACTACTCCGTACAAATCATGAAAAGAAAGGAATCAAGCATGTCTCAGTCAATTTTTGAAATGTGGCAAGGGTAAGAGTCTCAAGGGTGTGGTGACAAGCGCTGTGAGGCTGGGCTGGGGTGGACCGTGGACAAGCGAGACGAACTCGCTTAATTAAAATGGGGCTTTCGCAGGGGGATGTCCAAATTCTCCTTATCTTATCGCACTGTATCGTCATTGTTCCTCCATGCCAATTACCAATTGCTTCAACCCCCGTCGCATGTCTTGTCGTTCCACTCCGATCCGCAATACGGCCTCCTCCACATTGGCACTGTGATAAGCTGGAACTTAACGTCAGCACGACTAACCGGCAGACGCAAGCTCAGTGCATAGCCTGTTACTCTCTTTCTTTCTCGTTCATCGTCGGAGGGCTGGAAGGGTTTCGAAACACATTGCGATACTTGTTGTTTGCCGGCGGCTTCAAAGAGCCGGAGTCCTCTTGCTCGTCGCTGCTGCGGGTCAAGGAGACGGACAACCGACTTCGGCGGCTTCTGGGCAGGCGCAGCGAACACGAGGAGCGCTTCAGTCACAGCAACAAGAAGCGGACGGAGGAGGAATCCCTGCGCGGAAGATGGAGGTGAGATTTTGACTTTTGCTTCTGTCTTCAATTCTTTTCTTTCTTTCTTAGTCCCTCATCACTCTTGAGCCGCCGCGTTCTCTTCATCTTTTTTTCTGCGCATTACATCGTCCAAGAGGGTACAAGACGAGAGCCTTTCGGCCTACATCAGTTCTTGTATGAGACCGTTTCCGAACCAGAAACGCCAGGCCAACCTCGGTTTCCTCAGCCTGACTGAGTAAGCAAGCATCAACTACGCCTGTCGGCCAAACACATACACCGCCGTTGATGCGGCTCGAAACACCTCTTGGGACATCGCCAGCTTGCATAGTCCGGCAACATCCTGTGTCACACTCGCAGTCATAGCTAGGGTTCATCCAACTACAGCTCGGTTTGGCCGGTTCGTCCGCCCCTATCCAGGGTCGAGTCATAGTTCCCGGGCGATGAAGTGGGAGGCTGAGCCACGGTGTCATGGATAATGCGTTGTCTGTACGACGGTGAGATCCGCAGAAGAAAGAAGAGCTTGCCCAGTTTTGCCTCAAAGCCGACGCAGGGACTTCCTCCCAGCCGTTGCGCGAGCGGTTTGCGACAAGCTACGGGTTTCCCCTTGTTAAGATGCGCAGGCCTGCCGCCAGATTTCCTCATCCTGCGCGTATCCGTTGGAGGCGGTCGTATTCGACCGAAATTGTGCCAAGGCAGTTATTCTGGCGACAACTTTCGAGGTACTGCAAGCGAGTAGATGACGGCGTTCCTGTCATAGTGTCTGGACAGACATGTTCAGGAGAACGATCCTGCAGGTCTGGGGGCCTCCGGACTTTTTTCGCCCTGGACCATGGTCCGCCTTGAGACCTGTCCGAGAACCCCTACAAACATCGAGACCCCTGGTCTGTAGCATCGACTTTCTGAGTTACCAGCAAACACAAAACATTTCGCGACGTGGCAGGAGCCTCGACGAGACTACATCTGACGAAAGCTGCTGAGACTCGATACTACGCTGTCGCCATATGATTAGGTCGGCGAAGACTGCCAGAGCAACATCTCGTGATTCTTGGGATGGAACCATCGCGCCCTTCAATTGATTCAATGCTGTCCCAAGCGGTTGACGGCCTGGGTCTTTCTGTCCACAATGCTGCTTTTCGCACGAACGGTCGTCAGAGTCCGGCAAGGCTAATCCTTCAGCGTGTCTACGATCAGGATCAAGGAGCCCCGCCGACAGATGCGAACAAGCCGATGGAGCTACTTCCGGGACCTCCTGGAAAAGGGAAACCCAGACTTCTTCTGATGGGTCAAAGAAGGTATGAATCGGCGCCCCCCAAAAATCTTGTTCTTCTTCATCTGAGCCCGACACTGATCCATGAACAGGAGTGGCAAGTCTTCAATATCAAGTGTGGTGTTTCACAAATTACCGCCCAATGAGACGCTGTTCCTCGAGTCAACGGCTCGTATTCAAAAAGACTCCATGGCGTGAGAAGCCATTTATCTCATCTAAGCTTGCAGGACCATCCACTGACACCCGCCGCTCAGATCGTTCATGGATTACCAGGTCTGGGACTTCCCCGGCCAGATCGACTTCTTTGAGAACCCAAACTTCGACATGGACGCCATTTTCGGGGAGATTGGCGCCCTTATCTGGGTCATTGACGCGCAGGACGACTACCTCGAGGCCGTGTCGCGGCTCAACGCCACGGTCCTCAACCTCCAGCGGTTCTACCCAAACATCAACATCGAGGTCTTCATCCACAAGGTCGACGGCCTCTCGGACGACTACAAGCTCGACATCCAGCGCGACATCACCATCCGCATCCAGGACGAGCTCTCGGACCACGGCTTCGAGAACGCCCCCGTCACCTTCCACCTGACGTCCATCTACAACCACTCCATCTTCGAGGCCTTCTCCAAGGTCATCCAGAAGCTCATCCCCCAGCTCGGCACCCTCGAGGCCATGCTCACCAACCTCTGCCGCACGTGTCGCTTCGAGAAGGCCTACCTCTTCGACGTGCTCTCCAAGATCTACATTGCCACCGACTCGGCCACTGCCGACATGGCCTCGTACGAGATCTGCTCCGACTACATCGACGTCATCATCGACATCACCGAGGTCTACGGCTCCTGGCCGCGCTCCGACGGCCAGCGCAAGCGCCTCGAGGCCGAGCCGTGGAACGCAAAGGTCGAGGATCAGGTCGCCTGCAACTGGGCCGAGAGCTGCATGGTCCTGCACGACTCGCAGCGGCCCATCATGTTGCGCGAGGTTGACCGCTACCTCGCCCTCGTGGCCATCATGAAGGAAGACTCATACGACCGCATGCCTCTCGTGAACATGAACGTCGAGGCCGTCGTCCAGGGCATCACCGAGTTCTTTGAGATCACAAAGCCGCGCAAGTGAGGAGCGAGAGAGGGGATGATATGGCAAGTGGGGGAAACTTGGGGAGCGTAGGCATCAGACATCTATCAAAAGAAGATTTTCCGCATGTTTTAGCTTGTGCTGTACACTAAAACCTTTTCATTTCTCTTTTCTTGTCGGAAGACCACCAAAGTACTCTGATTTCTTCCCTCTTGCTTTTGTGTCATGAGCCATCTATCCACTTTCGACTACCTCCGTCCGTGTCTATCAGGTGTATGCGACTGCAGTCTGTGAAATAACCCATCAAGCGCCGCCTCTTCTAACTCTTGAACCTCCAGCACACCCATGCGTTTCTTGCTACGCGGCGTCAAGCGCTTCGGCGGCACCTTGAACATGTTCCCCGGCGTCAGGGGCACAAGCGTCTTCTAAGCGCCATGTGCCGCTCTGGGTGTCGCCGGTTCCGGCAGTTGCGTGTCGTCTAGACCAGACCCGAGGCTGAAGACCTTGTAGGTGGTCCGGTTAGCACCTAGAACACACACACGGGCGGGGACTTCGCCACGCGCATCGGAGGCGTCCTGAACGTCCATGCGCACCGGCACAAAAGACGGGTCCTCGGGAAGCGTGGTTGTGGTTACTTCGCCCTGTAGCTGCTGAGAGAGGGCCTGCGTCATAGGTAAATTTCCCTCTTGGTAGGGCATGTATGTAATGTTATGTGACTGAACTGGGATTGTAACAATGTTGGCAGATTTGCCTGTGAGGAATTAGTACATGGAGTCAGTCATTGGGTCAAGATATTGCTGAATCCAGCGTACCTTGCTTGCATACAAGCAGAATCAGCGTGCTGCTGTTCAGAAACTTGACGTCGACAATCTTGCCATCGTCTACAGACAGAGCTGCAGTCGTGGTGGTTACGTTGCTGCTGATGCCGTTGATGATGCCGATGGACGTGCGGAAGATGAAGACTGTAAGATTGTTTGCATCATTTTGAGGCGGACGTTAAGAAAGATCACTTACCACTCTGGTCATGGCCCTCTTCGATTACAGCCGCGAAGATAAGTCCGTTAATCTCCTCCTGCATGGCACGTTAGCAAACCATCGTGGTTTTTTCGCAGTATCAGACGAACCTCCTTCTTTTCTGGGCACATTGTGGAATCGAACCTAGCAATCTTGCGGCTCAAGGCGATCTTTGTCGGCTGTCCGAAGCGGACACTTCTCTTCTGTGCTTCGGCAATATCTTTGAAGATTCCGTTCGCGCGGGTAGTAAGGTAATCGACGAGAAAGCTGACATTCGGGAAGGCTTTTAAATAAGGCTGTCCCTCTTCCCAACGCCTGAGTTGCGTATCCAGATCTTCAAGCATTGATGCTCCGCTATCGGCTCGCTCCCAGTTGGTCGAGTAGTCTTCTTTGGATACTTCGTCAAAGAACACGGCCATGGGGCTTTCCACAAGGTACCGTTGAACGTACACCAGCACCTTGCTATTCTCCATGGTGGCTTCCTTTTCGGTTAGATCTTCACTTGCCGAGCTTGGGGCAGCGAGACGGTCGATCTGGAATCGCATCCAAGTAGAGAAGGCATTGAAGAGATCGAGTTCTTCCATGACGTTGAGCAAGATCCTGTGACCAACCAATGTAAGGCAAGAGACGATGTCCATTGCACGGGAAATCTGCGCAACAGTAAAGCCGATGTCCTCCCTTGAATCGTAGAACTGGGCTAGCCCACGCAGACGGCTAAGAATGATGGCGCACCTCTCCAGTGCGGGCAGCATGTTCTCGTGTATCAAGCATCGCAAGTTTTCGAGGCCAGATACAACAGCCTTATCCCATCGTTTATGACCCTGCGTGATCTCTTTAGCCGCAGAGTCTGCGAGATCAACAATAGCAATAACATGAACTTACACGCTCAGCTAGGCTATCGACGAGCCATTCGCGAACAGGTTCGTATGTGTGGCCAGTAATAGCTGTATGGAACAACGCCTGAACAATGTTCGTCGGACCATGGGAAGCTTGCTCCAGGTCCCCTTCTACACTGCGCAAGAACTTGGAAGGCAGATCCCTCGTATTCTTGTATTCCACCTGCATATGCAGTTGCGTCTGCTTCACATATCGTAGCAACTTTTGCAGTGCCGTGAGTTTGGACGCCAAGAGGGATATGTTAATCGGCGATAAAGGAATAAAAGGTAGGTCCATAGGTACAAGGTACAATGCCCGGTCGTCATCGGCTGAGGGTTTCAGGAAAAGAGCATGGGTTGACACCTCTGGATGAGAAGCATGTTGGACTAGCTGGAGGACACCCGGCCTGTACATCGAGCTTGGCAGGGTATATCGGAAGTCGCCAATAACAAAAGAGTCGTAGATGCTGAGATGAAGGTGGCCATCGCTCGTTCCCACGAGCATTACGAAGACCTGATCACTGTCCTGATTGTTAAAAGGTTGGAATAGGTACTCGATGCCTGTCCGCAACGTAAACACCAGCCCATCTTCGCTGCAATCGCGGTCAGCCACAAATAAGGAATAGTTGGGGAAGTTGACGCACCCTGCTCCAGCACTTGAGCTAGGCAAAGGGCTGATCTTAGGCAATGCCGAGTCTACCTCCAAGAAGGTGAGTTCTCGCGGAAAATCTAGTGAGGCGTGCCCCGCAGGTAGTTCGAGCTCCTCCGACATGAGCTTCTGCCACGGCTGAGACGATGTCTTCTGGTACCGAAATCCTGCTTTGCCTACGGTATTGCGCGACCAGCCGATGTGGGTGATGTTGGGCGCTGCCGTTGTGTTGTCTCCACAGACCCGGATATGATGTGCAGCTTTGTTGTTCTCCAAGCCCATCAACCTCACGTAGCCGTCACTCCAACCAACAGCGAGGAACTGACCTATCACCGAGTCAGTCGAAAAGAAGGCCCAATAGGTGTTGAAAATACGGAATTACCATCCGGCTTCCATCTCACGGCTTGTGGTTGTAGTGTTTGCTGGCCAGGTTTTGCGAATTGGTGGATTTTGGACACGACTTGTTCCCTGGGTCGGTATATCAGAAGATTCTTTCCCGTTGCATCCCAGCTGACGGACAAGTCGACAGTCGGATTACTGCAGGGAAACCCATCTGCAACCCGGTGGTCGAATCTGGTCTCGCTGTAAGAGCGTAGCTGTGTGATTTTAGCCATCGCGAGAAAACGAAGCTATTTGTGATGTTGTGCGAATGATGCTTGTTCGAGAAACCATAGCTGGTCCTCTAAGGGAAGGCGTCTACCCAGGTAGGTACCTGGGCGAATGTAGTAAGCGATGCAGAACCAGGCCCAAGCCGATTAACTGCCAATTGAGACGCGAAACAATTAGTTCAACTCGCTGCTCCAAGGACGACGGTCATGCTTAGAGCAGGTGTTTTGGGTGTCGACTGCCTTTTTGAGGTTCGCAACTCCTGCCTACCTCAGGGCAGGTACCAGCAGGCATGTACTTCTTCAGGCTTGTGTTTTGTGTGCGCTTTCAGGTACGCTGCGGACAACGAGCCTGCCTGTAATTAGTGGGCCATGGGTGCACTTGCCCGTTTTCCAGTGACTGGAACACACACCACTTTAAGTAGGTACTAACAGGTTATTGGAGTGGATAGGTGGGCAAAACAACGGCGCTTGAGGGTGGGTTGGCAACAATAGCGACAATAAATAGCTTCTTTTGCAGGTGCTTTCGCGCCCTGTTTCTCTCTAAGATACGTTTCATTTCATGCAGCCAACTGCAATGGCAATTTCCCAACATTGCCAGACAAACCCGCTGCTCGGAAACTCCTGGGTTGGCGCTCAACAATGCAAACCCTAACAATCTCGTCTCCATCTAAGGTACCTTAGCTAGCTACTTGAGCTTGGCTTTCTATTCAATCAAGAAGTTGTCTGCATTCGACTTAACTTCCTTTGAGAAAGTCACTTCCTCATCCTCTTCAAGCAGTGAAACCGAGGAGACCTACACATATACGTTAGCGTTTGTGTCATGACCATAACTTATGAGCTGCAACTTACATCGACGTCAATGAAAGGAGACGTCTTTGAGAACCTGACCGTCATAGGGAAAAAGTCATTCTCATCGTTGGTTTCGGCCTCAAACTCGAACGATCCCGTGGGGTTCTCGTCTGACACTGTTCCGATGTTCCACTCCAGAGAGTCTCCGGAGACCTCGTACGAGGCATCGAAACTCGAGACAACTGGCTCGCTGACCTGGTAGGGGATGATCACACTGACGTCCCTGAGTGTGTCGCCGCCCGTCAGTTCGTACTCGACCGTCATGTTGTACTTGTCCGCATCCTTGTTGATCCAGACTGTGAACGTGATGGGGCACGCGCTGGCATCATCTGCCTTAGCCGTCGCCCTCCAGCGCAGCACGCCCACTGACTGGTTCGTGGGGAAACCGCGGGCAGTGTTGCTCATCTGGATAACCTTGGAGCTGTTGAATAGGTTCTTGTCGACGTTGGGATGCGTTCGGAACTGGGCGCCGTGAGATGCGTTGGCCGTCAGATTCAATTTGACCTTGGTCAAGGTAGGATCGGAGATGCGGAGGCTCAGATCACCAACTATCGCAAGGGAGTTGATGGCTCCCTCTCTCGACAGCTTGGCACTGATGGCCTCGTTGACCACGACATGGATAGCATCACGGTCAAGGGTAGAGGAGACGCGGGGCTCTGCTGCAGGCTCGGGAACATGGGCAGCGGACGGCGTGATAAGGGGCGTATCATCCACCTCGGGGCCCATCTCGCCTCGAACACGCTCGAACATGTCCGTGGTCTTGGATTTCTTGCCCAATTGCATACCCTTGCCCTTTGGAGCGTTCAGTCTGTACATGTCAGCCGCCGATCATTGTGTCCTGGTACCACACAGCAACTCACTTGTTGAACGTCTTGTTCTTCTCAGCTTCGTACGAGTCATACGTATCCGTTGGCGTCGGGCGGGTAGGAGGAGTGTAAGTCGGGTACACGGGCGTTCTGGGCATGCCACCACCAACGCGGCCAGCTCGAGCCGACTCTTTGCGCTGCATTTCCAGTTGCTTGGCCTTTCGCTTCCGCTCCTCCGTCGCCTCCAACTCCTTGTTCTGTAGCAGATGTTAGTATGAAGCGTTTGGAAACACCAAAGAGTAGAGTGACGGACTCTTGCGATGATCTCCTGGATTCGCTCTTCGTGACTCTCCATCTCGAGGAAGGTTTTGATCTGGCTGATGGTCAAGTTCTCGCGGTATCCGAGGGTGACGAGCTCGTCGAAGGCGCTGAGCAGCTCGTACGCATTCTTCAGGATCTCCCTCTCATCGAGGCTCTTGCATGTGCTGGTGACAACCTGCGCGAACAGGTGCAGGGAGTCGATGTCTTGAAGGATGTTGGATTGGCGGTTGGTAATGAGCACCATGTAGAGCTCATCCAGCGGCTGGTAAACGAAGCGCACATTATCTTGTTCGACGGTCGTGTGCTGGGTGCCACTATCGGCCAGCTTTGGAAAAGACGCGAGGAGGGCTTCGATGCGGGATCGTGGCATCTCCCTGAACTGGCGGGAGAGGACAGCTTTCCCGCCACGGGTACAAATCGACGCTGCGAGGACAACCTATTCAAGTCAGCATCTCCTGTCTGCATTCTAAAACAAAGCCGTATGGAAAGGAGGCGCTTCACCATTTTGGATGGGGTGTTGTGACAGTGTTGGAGCGAATTGAATATGTAGATGGGCTGTCGCAACTCGACTTCGAGGTCCCGGGCCAAAGGGGGACCACATGGGGAGCTCGAATATTGAGCCGAATGTGTGAATCTGGCCAGTGCACGGGCCACTTCAACCTTACGTACAGCGGCTGGAACTAGCCCCAAAAAAGTAAGGTGGAAGCTACCTCCAGAAGGCGCGTCTAGCCGCGCTTACGGAACGTAGAGGGGTGGCACCTGGGCCCTTTTTAAATTCCTAACGCGCCTGATTCAACTCCACCTGGTAACTGGTTTGCCCTACCATCAACTTTCAACTCTTTGTCCTGCAACCATTTCCTCCCCTTTCCAGGGCATGCTTCCTCCGGACAAGTTTTTCAACGAACGCACGTCAAAGACCAGTACTCTCAGGGTACGAACTCAGCCTCACAGTAAAATCCCACCGATACCTCCAAACAACTGGATTTCGCTAGCTTCGTCGGGCGGACATCCGGATCTACGATACCCGAAGTACCTAACCGAACCGCCGATCGTCCTGATATCCAGAGGAAACCCGGAACCTCTTTCCTTGAGAAATTATTTCCGACTTGTCGGAATCAGAGGGGATGGCAACTGAAGCAGCTCCGCCCCCGAGCCTCGAGGCTCAGCAAAACGAGGAGTACATCGACTACTCTGAAGACGACTTGGCAGTACCTGCCGTCGCAGCCAAAGACTCTAACAACAAACCATTTTCGTCCAACGCTCAGTTTGACCCCGACGGGTCGGAGATCTTGGAGATGCTGCCTGTAGAGTCAGACCATGAGGCCCAAGCTATCGACGTGCAGGTCGACGCTGATATTGAGGTCATTTCTACGGTTACCGATGTAAAGTCGAAGGATGACGGTGCAGAAATCGATACTACGCTCGACTCTGAAGCCGTCCATCAGATGCATACTACGGAATCTGAGGGTAATTACTTCGACGAGACTGAGATCCTCAATACTGTCAATAATACGGAAGCCGAAGAAGCTTATGTCAACGAGAACGAAATCAGCTGGGAGGATGGTTCTGGCAATGAACAGGATGCAGATCAAGACGGTGGTCACGCCAAGACTGGTAACGATGACTGGCAATTGGTTGGTGATGCAGACCAGATCGCACAAGATGCTGCAAATCTAAACGAGGGATCTTCCAGACATGGAGAAGCGGAGCGTCACGAAATTGACCAAGCGCTCGAGGACGTTCCCAGCGCTTTTGCCAACCTCGACACAGACCTTGAAGCTATTGCTGTTGTTGACGTTGACCCTGCTTCGGAAGAAGGGCAAGTCGCCGAAACCCAAGATTCGGAGGCGGATGATGTGAATGGGATAGCTGATCCCGATCCGGAGAACGGTGATTCAGCTGTCGATGCCTCGACAGATGTCAGTGACGCCCGGCTTGAACGTCTTGAGACCTTTCGAGAGGGTCTTCACAATTCCCCTAGCGAACAAGGCGCCGAGGACCATTCCATGGGCGAAGATTACGGTTCTCAGCTTGAGCAGGACGTCGAAAGCGGCATTGCTGCTACTGATGATGACGTTACCGACGAGCAGCACCATGGCGAAGTTGCCGACTCTACCGACCACATTGCGACAGAGGAAGCCATATCGGACCACGAGCATGCAATGTACGATGATGAGATGCTTGCCGATGTGCGATCATCAGTGTCGGCAGAAACGTCACCCAACGACGACATGGATATTCCCGTAATCACGGTCTCATACAAAGGTATCGACTATCCTTTTTTTTACGGCTCGCCGGATAGTGAGGGCAAGGAATGCTTTTTCCATGACCTGTCTCTTTTGCACTGCAAAATGGAAGGCGTACTGGCAGGTTTCCGTCGAGAGCTTGCCAATGAACTCGGTCCATTCGACGAGCTTGTGTTCCAGATCGACGAGCTCGGACTTGAATTTGCTGAAGTAAGCTTCCATTCTCTGAAGACGAAACCTTTACTGACCAGCTCAAAGTCCAGCCAACCAGATGTGTTTTCCGATATAACCTTGGGCCAGATTATCTCCGTGTTTGACTCACTAGTCAAGAACCAGAACCCCAACGCGTCAAAACCGCTCTACGCGTATCTCTCTACCCGGCCCAACTGCAAGAAGCGATGGCTTTCGCTGGTCGATGATGCCTACAATGGCAAAGGTCTCGATGAAATCAGCTTCTACTTCGCATCCAGGGCGCACAGTGAAGCCCCTGAAATTCTGGATGATGAGGCCGACCTCATTGGAGAAGAAGACAATGCCGATGCTGCTGCATGGCCACGGTCCCCTCGCGAGAGTGAGCGTGGCGACCTAAATGAGGACGAGACCCAGGATGAAACTGTGGAGACCAACGAGGACATCAACGAGTATGACGATGTTGACGATGGGATTAATGGAGATGGCGATGCAGAGTCACAAAGCGCTCTTAATGAAGATCCCATCCAGCCAGGGGCGAGCGTCGTAGACGATGTCGATGTCGAGCCGACCATGGTCAATAACGGGGCTGCCC